ATAAAATTAATCTGTTAAAATTTGGAGAATTGATAGTGATAATCAATTCACTTTAATTGATTATTACAGTATGACATAAAAAGAACAAATTGTTTTTTCATAGGATGGATAATATTTAGCAAAACTAAAAGATGATTATTCTAAGAAATCTATAATAGTTTATCCTGTAGATTTGATTAGTAAACGACGATTTATCCTTACTAATGATTAAAGTACAGTAATGAGGACAATAATAAGGATATCAAATAACTCACAATATTTTTTAGAAGGGAATTATAAACTTTCTAAATTATATAATTAGATTTTACTATTGATGAATTCTCTAATTTAGGATATTTTGAGTTTTGCCCAAATAATGAAAATATAGTCTTCCAGAATGACCAAAATTTGACATTATATAAAATCAAATCAAAACAAATCATTTATCAACTTAAAACAGATAAATATTTTTAAGAATAATATTTATCTTCATTTTCAGTTTCATTTACAAATTATGACAAGATTTTAGTATTAGCATAAGAATAGATAATTCTTTTCAATATAGCAGATATTAATAAACCTTAATTAATTGGAGTAATACAAAATAAAATAACTTCTGCTTTTCCTACAACATCATCCAAATATCTTGCTTCAACAGTGAGTAAAAATTAAATTTAAATAACTGATATGATTACTAGAAAATTTATTAAATCAATAAAAATAAATATCTCTAGATATGATAAGTTGTAAGATTTAGTTATTTTATAAAATGATACAAAAGTAGCTTAATTATTAAAGAAATAATTTATAGTAAAGAATTTGATTGATGATAAAATAGAAAATAATTATTGTGACACTAAAGGTTGTGATAAAATAGCAATTTCAAAAGATAGAAAAAATTTAATATTTTCTTCAGGTAATAAAGTCTATTTTTATGAAAATATAGATCACTAAGAATTCAATAAATTGGAAGAGAATATTAATTTCTTACATTTTTCATTTTCTTTAGATTCGAAATATTTAGCAGGATGTGGAAGTAATAAAATAATTTATTTTTGGGATTTTAAGGCAAGAAAAGTGATGGCTAAATTCGAAGGCCATTCAAAAACAAGTTAATGTAGTTTAAATTTCTTACGATAATTCAACATTAGCATCTTGTAGTGATGACAAATTGATAAGATTATGGAATTTAAATGCAAACTGTAACAGGATAGCTTAGGATGGACATGAGAGTAGCATTAGCAATATAATGTTTTCAGCAGATAGTTTGGTATTATATTCTGGAGGAGTTATAGACTAGACTCTTAAATTATGGGATATGTAACTTAAGACCCTATTAATTTCAAAGACTTTTGATTAACCCATAAACTCTTTTTCAATTACACATAATTAAGAGTGTCTCATTGTAGGACAAGGAGGAATAATTCAATTATGGAATATTTAATATAATTCAGTATTTCAGAAATCTAAATTTGAGATCATTCCTGGTGATGCTCCTCTTATAATTTTGAAGAAAGAGGAAACATTTAACAGATTTAATTTTTATCAAATGATAATTAAATTATTACATTAATCTTGTTTGCACGTCATGGGAATATTTGGGAAAAAAAATATTTTTCTTTAGCAGAGATATGGGAGAGAAATGATAAAATTGATGAGTCAGCTATTTTATAAGAATATGATTAAAGTGAAATATGGTTTTACAAAATATCATAAGATTTTAAATATATATGTTCTGTAGACTATCAAAATGAATTAACTTTAGGTGAGTTATCGTTAGAATCTAAATAAAATTTAACAAAATTGAAATAGTATAACAATCATTAAATCATTAATCTTCTCTTTTCGAATGATTCTAAAATATTATCATCTGTTGATAGTTAAATGATAGTATTTAGAATTTTAGATGGTGACTAATTACTTTGTAGTCTTAATATAAACATTGATCCTAAAAGTTTTTTTCAATATTTTACAGATGATGACAAATTTTATTGTACAAATTTTAAGAATTAAATATACCTATGGGATGTTAATCATTTAGTAAAAGATTAAAATTAATAAATTTCTCAGTTGGAATTAGATTTAGAAAATGAAGCTATTCAATAATTTACAATATCTAATAATCTTAAACATTTAGTTATTGGACTTAATGATAATCAAAATAATAATATGTTAAGGGTAGTGGAATTAAGTTCAATGATAATATTAAAAAATATTCATTAAAAAAGTAAAATTAAACTATTACTATTTTCTGATGATGATATACTTTTGGCAGTAGCTAATGAATTAAATGAAATATTAATTTATGAAATAGATCAATTTACAATAAAGCATTCTTTTCAATGCCATTAAGCTTAGATAATTAAGATGTAGTTCTTCTTTTATAAAGAACCTTATGAGGTAGAAAATAATGATAATAATTTAGATAAATAAACTATTTAAATTAAAAATAATGAATAAGAAAATCTTGATGGTTAACCTAATTAAATTGAAAAAATTAAAAGAAAGAAAAAGAATATAATATATAAATCAATTTTAAGTTTAATATCTTTTGATACAAATTATTCAATTGTAATAAATTACTTGGATAATTTAAATACTCAAAATCAGACATTAAAGTTACCTAACAAATCTGAAAATGTAATTTAATAAGTTTGTTTTACTAAAGATATAAAGACACTTGCTGTAATTACATATGATAATAATTATCAATTCAGTTGCATTATTTATAAATGGTAAGAAAATAAGTATAATTAAAAAGAAAAAATTGAAGATTGTTAGATTAGTGATATTTCTTTCGATCAAGAATATTTAATTTATTGTAATTAGAAAGCAGAATTATACCTATTGGTCTTAGGAACTTCTTAATTTAAGAGTAAATAGCTTAAAATTAATTATAATGATTCTTACTCAAATGAGCCATTTAATTTTCTTAAAATAAGTTCATCAAAATCAATTTTATTTGCAGGAAATAATTAATTTATGCTTTGTTGGAAATTATGCCAATAACTCTATAAGGTACAATTAATATTGTTAAAGAAAATAGAATATAATAATTTTAATTACTCATCAATGTTTTTGAGATAGGATTTTCAGATATTTTGTTTAATGAATAATAAAATTTAAAAATTAGATTTCTTAGATGCAATAGGAAAACTGAAATCATGTCTTATTTATTACTAAGACATTTACACAAATTATTATTATGATACTATAAGCTAATTGGCACCAATTATAATTTTTAAAAACTGCAGTTTTTCTTCGGATCTTTCATTATGCGTTAGTGTAGGAGAAAGCAAAAATAATGTAAGTAAGGATTACAGTCAATTTTTAATCTTATGGGA